GCTGTACAAATGAAGTAGCTATGGCTCAGTGGAACAGGTGCTCATCACCCATTCTAAAGGCCTTTCCACATTACACAGTAGATTACCTGCTGCTGAGAATCCTAAAGAAGGAAAAATCAAAATGTTCTTTTTTCCCCCCCGTGTTTTGGAATATAAAAAACTGATCTACGAGAGACAAGTTTTTCAGACCGTTGTCCATGACAGCAATTATTTTGATACGTACAGCACATTCAGGTAACTTCAGTCAGACCGTTACAGGAGACCACTCACAGAGATAATCCCTATCAGATGTGGCTTGAAGGTGTTGACGGCGTCGATGCTTTGTTGTGTTTTTTACAGGCTCTGAGTGAAGGGTGTCATCAATCAACAGCCAAAGACAAAATCAGGTCAGATTTCACAGAGAGGATCCCTGTTTGTTCGCATAACATTCAAATGAGCCTCCGAACACACACAGGCAGGTACACCCCCTCACAGAGAGACAGAGAGAGAGACAGAGAGAGAGAGAGAGAGTAATGATAACTAATTGTGGCTAATTGACCTAGAATTAAACAAGAGATGGGCTTCATTAATTGCTAAAAGATTGATGTGAAAGTTGACCTCAGCAAAACTAAAAAGGTGTTTCTCCGTTCCTGACTTTTCAGTGCCAGCATGTCCATGGACTGTGGGAGGAAAGGCCATGTAGGCACAGAGAGAGAGAGACCCCCGACCACAACGCCAAAACACGCACCGCTGGTTACACACATACGTGCACTACTCATAACCAGGCAAGAAAATAAGTAAGAAAGAAGGAAGGAGTGTAAGAAAGACTCACAGTGGACGAGATGCAGTGGACGACAAACGCGGACGTCAGCCTTTCATCACAGCCGCTCCTCACTCAGCTCCAAAAGGAAAAAGTTCTATCAACAACAAGTCTGACCCTCTGTTGGAAAGCGCAGCACAGCACCGCAGAGCACACAGCACTCCTTCTACCCAACGCGGAGGAGGTGAGTCTACAGCAGGTGAGTGATAGGTGACTCTGCAGGTAACTCAACCTGCACCGAGGGGAGGAGACAGCTGACAGTCAGCAGGGAGGTGGGCCCGTCTGTGGGAGCAGCACAAACGATCTGAAGGCCAGCAGCCAGCTGTGATCGAAGGAGAACAGTTTTATAAGGAAAAACACAAACACAACTGTTGAAGCCGGGCTCTCGGAGCGCGCACAGCTCTCATATCTCTTGGCCGGTTGATTGTGCTATTTCACAAGTGTTCTCGAGATCACAGATTAGACAGATGGAAACTAAAATGAAGCCAAAAAGTAACTGTCAGCTCAGTTGAAAGATGGAAATCATCGTTTTAAATAGCTGTGTTTGAGCCACAGTATTGCAGAAATACACACATTTTATCGCACCTAAAATATTATATTTGTAATATGTAATATTATATCAACATATAGTCGTTTTTAATTCAGATTAGTCTGGCCTAATAATACTTAAGTTCACTCAACAAGGCTTGATAAAATTCAAACTAAATTTAAATACATTCACCTTGTTGCCTGCCTTTTCCCCCATTATAGCGCTGCACCATGAACAGGGGTTTGCCCCCCACTTTGGGAACCACTGCTTTAGCCAACAAATCCGCTAAAATGTACTAAATATTGACTAAAAGATAGTATAGGAAAACATAGAGACAATGGAGGGAAAAAAATGAATGAATTTGTGTTAGTATTTAGTTACATTTAGTATTTTAGTTACAATATGTAGAAAAAAGTATGCATTAATACCCAAGAGTTTACCCTTAAAATAACTTACTTTAAAATACTAAAAAATATGCTTCAATATAACAAAATGTCATTTATGTTAATGACAGATCGTATTTGATAAATAATTCAAGTCTCGTTAAGAAGGGAACGTGTTTGCACCTACATACCCAGGTTAAGGAGCAGGGAACAAAATTCAAGTGTTTGTGAGCCGGGCTGTTACTCAAGCACAATGTCTCTCAGAAACCTGATTTGTTTTGAGACGTCTTACTATGGAAACCTTATCTTTGGGTTTGATCATTAACTTCTGCAGTCAGTGCTGAGAAGTCACATATTTCTACCATTATGAAGCAGGGAAAAGGTGAAAAACCATTACCAGGACAGGAGACATGAGAGGCTCTCTGCTGAGAAGGATATTACATTCGAGCAGCTACAGCCACGTGTAAAGTCTTTACACCACTAAACGAACACATTGGCCTATTGTTAATGCGCAAACAGAGTTCCAATACCATTGCACAAAATCATTTCAATGGTAACATTTCCCTCTGCAACAATTCTGCCCCCCAGTGGAGAAAAACTGAAAATACAGGCGGTGTGTTGACTACTTGTCATACACCCATAACAGCTGTCGGTTTGGTGTTAAATATTTACAGATGAAACAGAACAGTTACAGATAGAACAGTTGAAGAGACTCTGGTTTAAACCTGGCTTTAATCAAAGAACTAAAATTCACATATTCACGATATTTTAATCAAATATTGCTGTTGTATATCATGACATGTGTGTAAGTCTACTCTGGTTTAAACCTGGCTTTAATCAAACTAATATGTGAACTAAAATTCACACATTCACAATATTTTAATCAAATATTGCTGTTGTAGATCATGACATGTGTGTAAGTCGGTATATTTACGTAGTTCTTGCCATGAAGTTGATTGACGTGCATTTATAACGCCTCGATATTTCTAATTATTATAGCTAAAGTCTATCCATTTATTACAAGCCAAGACAACAGCTGATTAAATAAATCATAAAAGTAATTTATTAAAAAATATATTCTGATTATACATGATAAGACACGGAAGATTTAGAACACCCTGATAAACCAAGTGGAGCCAGTGTATCATTTGGTTTTAAAATGTTCCAACTCCACTGTAACTCCCATATCTTTGACATGTGATCATATGCAGCTTTTTAGAAACTTTTTTTTATAGAAACTTACCTTTGTGTTTTATTTGCGTCATTAACATGATTGACCCACTGAAGTACATCCACATGAATTGACAGTTTGATAAAGACGTCACTATGTACATACATACTTTTTGTGTAATCCATAATTAATATCTGAGGCAACGCTTGGGCAACATAGAATCATTTCAGCACACACACACACACAGTTTGTTTTGACTGGATGCCTGAGTGTGCTGAACACACATCATAAGACCACATGAGGTAAGACATACAGAATACCAAAATGAACTGCTTTAACATAGCCAGCTGTTTCATTGTCCAGTGCAGCCTCTGTCTGTTTCTCTTTCTCACTTGTCCTCTGAAACAATCTGCATAGTGTGGCCACAAGAACGGACGCGTTGTTCGGCTTGAATGGAGGAAAAGCCGAGGGGTGAATGGGTGGAGAGGGAGATGCTCCAGCTGTGGGGGGGATAAGACAACACAACAGCATCTCACATGTGGGTGAGGGCTGTGGGAGGAGGGAGGTGTCCAGGCTGCGGGGGCTGCACACAGTGGCATTGTTATAAGGGGGGGTGGGATGCAGCTGATAAGGTTGAGAGAAATGGATCGTTCCCTCAATTCCTCCCCATGGGAAGCCCTGACACGAAACCCTCCCGTAGCCGGTTGAAGAGGCAGGAATACTTACAGTATCAAAACGTTACATGGTCCGTAGTTCAAGGTTCCACGAATGTTTTCAGTAGAACGAGGAAAGAGAAAAAAAAAAAAAACATTTTTCTTTAGATATGGTACATCATGTAGGCATGACGACCGTACTGACTTTTACACACACACACTCCTCTGTGGGGAGTTTTTACAACATGATACTGAAGTCAAGTCTGATTTTTTTTTTTTTTTTTTACATGATTTTACTCAGTGGACTTTGCACGTAGTTCAACTGTTACGTATCACAAGCATCTCTAAAGTACACACAGAAGTCAACAGTGGGCAGAGGGGCTTTTTGAAGTCAACTTTTAAAAAATAAAAAAAATTCTGGACACTATCAGGATATTAACAGCTTCTGATTCTCTGACATTTTAACATTCCATTCCATGTGAGTTTTTCAGCCCAGAAGTTTCTAACTAACTTCTGGGCTAACGTTTTCACATCCTCTCGGCCATATACCTCCTAACATACCCTTCCATAGTAACAATCTGTGCATGTTGCGTAGCATTTGTAAAGTCATTTGAATAAGGTGATAAACAGTCTAAGCTAACGTTTAGCAACGTTGTGATACATTCAACTAATTTCCACATCAGGTGCTGTCTTTCACCTTTTATCATTTTTAAGATTTTTTTTTTTTGGTTTATTTATTTATTATTTCATTTGACTGTTTATTCGTTTCAAACTAATGGCATTTAGAGCCCATTGGATTTAAACTGGTCAGATATGTTTCAACTGGTTGAGTATGTTTCAACTTTCATCTAAGGGCTTGACTTGTTACGCCTTGTTACTGAACCAAGTGAAAATGCTTTTGACTTTCTTTTTTGTACATTTTTGTACGAATGAGATTAGAAACTGAGGTTTGTCTGTACAGACGTTGTGCGTCGTTAGACCACAGACCCCGCAGTGGTTTGGTTTGCGATTTCTTTTTTTTCTTTTTCTTTTTTTTCTCTTCCCTTTTTCCTTTTCTTGGGTGTGAATTGTGGCTGTAGCCCCGCTGTAGCGCACATCATCCCTCACCTGCTCCAGCTGCAGCTCCTCTCTCTCCTCCGACTCCACATCCTGTCTGTGTGAGGAGCGACACTATGAACTCCGCTGGAGACGCGCGTTGACGACTTGAACGCAGCATCTCGTTGTATCGGTCTGTTTTTCCGCGGCCGTTACATTTTTATCACAGAGACTATTTTAACGTAACGAGTTTAAAGTTATTGTTGTTTTTATTATGAAGCACGCGGGGGTGAAGAGAAAGCCCGTCTGAAGGAACAACCTCGAACTTTTCTATTTTCACTATTTTTATTTTTTTTTTATTTTTATTTTGATCAGCCTTTAGTTTTAAATCCAAGTCCGTGAGCAATAACAAAGGCTAGGAAGCTCCAAGTCCGTGAGCAATAACAAAGGCTAATCTGAAGCCAGGAAGATCCACCTGGTGACTCCTGTGGAAGACAGCGACACAAACCACGTTGATTTAACCCTGAGTCCGTGATGTATATGTGAACGTTTCCCGGATCCGAATAGCGTTGGTTCGGACCAGGGGAGACTTTAATGGATTTTTTATGTGGGACTCGCTAGGATGGACGTGGTAGATGAAACAGAAGCGTTACAGAGATTTTTTGAAGGTAAGTATATTTTTTAATAGTAGATCAGTTCAACAGTAAAATGTAAAAAAAACTTAAATATTTTTCTAGTAGATCAGTTCAACAGTAAAATGTATCTCTTAAAAAAACTTACATATTTTTTTAAATATTTTAGCCCCAATTCTATAGCAGAGTGTCTGTTTCTGCCACAGTTTGGTCCATTTAAATATCTGCGTGATTTGGCTTAATTTATCAGTGGTTTCCAGATTTTCTCTGTAGTACTTTCCCTCACATTCCGACATCTTAAAGATTGCTTTGAAAATTCGCGGAGAGCGTTATAATTCCTACAAGAGTGCTATTTAAAATAAGCAAAGAAATACAATAACAAATCATCAAGAAATGTTGAAATAAAAACATGTAAACATCTTAGCCCCCTGTCTGGCTCTGCCCCCACTGCAAAGGTCTGCGCCCCATCTACGGGGTGGGTCCCTCACTTTGGGAACCACTGGTTTAAGCTTTGTTTAAAGAGTTGCGTGCACACATGACAGGTGGTTGACATCATCTGATCAGATAACGTCTGCACTGGCTCGTCCACCGCTGGAGCAACATCTTCACTTTTCTTTTGACTCTGGAAAAATAAGACTCGAAGAATTCAGGAGGGTTTACGGGTGCAAGGAGCAAAAGTGCTGCTGATGGGTAACAGATCACATTAAACTGGGAATCCTAAGGAAAGGAGGTGGAGAAGGAGGAGGAGGGGGGAGGGTTGGAAAGGGTGCAGGAATTCAAGTCAAGATAAATGGTGTGTTTTGCAAGGCTGCTGTGGCACAGAATGCGAGTGTTTCAGACAGACAAGCATGAGCAAAGTGATTTAAACCAGTGATGTGATGTTGGTCGGGGGGTGATGATCATAAATCCAGCTGATCTTGCCTCAGACAAACCCGTTACATTCATTAATCCGCTTGAATACGGTTCCCTCATTGGTTTGTTTTTTATATATATATTTCTGAGTCAAGGTTTTATCTCTGTGAATTTGAGTGCTTTTTAATCATAAATGACTCAACTGTTCATTTGATGTCACAGGATTTCAAAATTAAACTTAAAATAGAGCTGTGTTGTAATGGGATTTCTCCACTGTAAAATCCAACACAAATGCAAAACTTTTTCTTTTTTTTTTTGTTACTAACGTGAATGTCACAGAACTCCCATCATACTCAGTTTAATGTGATTTACTGTGTTTCTAGAGGACGTGTTAAGTGTTTGAAGAGAAGTCAAGCGCAAATGAAAACACACACTGCGGTAATGACTTATCAGCGGTGACACCTAACGCTCTGCTATGGTATACACAGCGTGCCAACTTAAGTACACACAGCCATCCATGACTGTCAGAGATTCCTTGCCATTTTTCTCAAGAATTTTGTGTGTTTACATTCTTGCATTGGGAGTAAGAGAACTGTTCTGACTCGGGCTTCATCTCAGCCTGGACTGAAATGTCAACTCGGCCATTAAGGGTTTACAGTTCAGGTGCTGCCTTCAGTAATCACTTTCAGACGTAACCATCTTTCCAACGTTATATAAACAGTGAGGACTTTTTTCACAGTATATTTTTAGAAGTCTTAAGAAGAGTTAAACCGCTTACAAAAAAGTATTCATTTTATTTATAATTTTAATATCTAATGAACAAGCATCTCTATTTACATACATACAAAAGCCCCATCTCTCTCTCTCTCTCTCTCTCTCTCTCCGGCACACACACGTACGTATGGATACGTCCATATACACAAAGACAGAAAGTGACAGTAATGGACTCTGTCAGTGGCGTACTCTGTTTTTATAGGATTAGTGAAATATGTATCCATTCACACTAATGCACGCTGGACATTCCTGGCGTAGCCCCAGTGGCTGTTAAAACACGGTGAGGTGAGATTGGTGGTTCTCCTCATCATTTCGGCCCTCTCTCGCTCTCCCTCGTTCTGGCTCCATTAGAGTGACAGTGAGCAGACGTGGTGAGGAGGTGAGATACTGCAGACACTGGGTGGAGGGAGAGCGGCCTGTTGAGAGAAACCCTGCAAAAACCAGCAACCCCCCTCGAAACTTGACCTTATCCTCTCTGACTCACGTTTGGTGGTGTTGTGTTGAGTTTCCCCACGGAATTCCAAAACCATTCACGGAATTGAACGCCAACACACATTCATGCAAAACATCAAGAATAGTGAATCTTCTTGGGTAGGTTCTTCAACTTCCCACTACAGAAACTGTGTTAAAACATTAGCCGGTGGCTAAAGTATCTGTTTTTAACGTACCAAACATCCACGGGGCAGCTGAACTACTTCGATCAGTGGTTCCCAAACTTTTTCTACTCTGTTCCACCTGAGAAAACATTGATGTTCATGATGACCAACATTAGAATACAGCAGCGTAGGCCTTCCCTGTTAGCTCCCACCACACAGAAGACATGTTTATTCATTATGGTGGTTATTTATTGTTACCTTAACACTGAATCAGAATCAGCATGGTATGTTTCAGATGTATTCAATTGAAAATGATGATGTGAAAAATATGAATTTTCCCCACGTACCACTAGAGGGCGCTCACCACAGTTTGAGAGCCACTGATTTAGATCATTCCCTGCTACCGTAAACCGTTAATGAATGGTATAGCTGAAAGTGACTTTTTACTGATGAATAAATGTCACTCAAAAAGAGACCGAAGATGCGGTGCGTACATTTGGCTGTTCGCTGTATGTATATACATATATGTATATACATATATGTATATACATATATGTATATACATATATGTATATATATATACTGACAGTCTAATCAACTCATCACTCACTCATTGTGATGCTAACATCCATAATCAATTGCCCAACCTCCTCTTGGTGAGGAGCAACTCCAGTCAACATCTGTTGGTTATAGACACTGAGCAATTTTATGTACGGCAACTTCAGAGTAAAAAATGTAAGTTATCAATTATGTCAGTGAATAAAGGAGGCTGTTCCCCCATCTCGGTGTGGGGCTGGAATGATTGTGATTTCTAGAAAGAAAAGCTCATTCCTCACGGTACTAAATCAGAGTTCCTAGTGTAGTCCTACAGCCGCTGCAAATCAACAATTGTTGCTGTGATTTATGTGGTTAACGAGCTGAAACAACCGGTAGATTGCTCTTAGATAAACACATTGTTTTAGAGCAGCCAAGCTCACCGCGCTCAGGATTTTGTTTTATTTTCCCATCAAGGCTCCTGACTCCCACCAGCGCTGCCTGCCAACTGACTAATCTGCAGCCGGTAAATATTGTTTATGAGCCGACCCTTTAGGACTCATCCTTGTCACCTCACATTTGTGTGCGATAATGTAACGAGAGCCTGTGATGGAAGAATACGGGGGCCTCAGGGATAAATTACACACCTGACACGAGTAAATCAGCCAAGTCGTTCTCAGTATTTTTTTCAGTGTTTTTTTTGTCCTCTCACATATTTGCTGTTGTTTGATGTAGAGTGGGTAGAAAAATTGTACTCGGTCCAACATTGACTGAAGTTTGTACTTTAAGTTAAGGCTCCAGCATGCACATTTACATGCTCAGAATATTACTGCAAATCCAATGCAACATAACGTTTGTTCAATTTTCTTACAAGACACTACTGTGCAGTGTCAGCCTGTTGCTCCGCATCACCTTATCCAGCTTAACCCCTCGCTCCTTACTGGGCAGGTCCGTGGATTTGGAAAACTTGCTGCTTTTTGTAGTTGTCATCGGGCATCATTTAGACGGCCGTTAGCCGAGGAGTAACATTTATTTATTTATTTATTTATATACCTTCTAACTGGCCGTTAGCCGAGGAGTAACATTTATTGATTTATTTATTTATATACCTTCTAACATACCCATCTGTGCATGTTGCGTAGCATTTGTAAAGTCATTTGAATACGGTGATAAACAGTCTAAAAAGTCTGCCGCAAGAGTTTTTAACTTTGGAGAACGCCGTGCTTGAGAAAATATCATGTTCATTTCTGAATTTTCCCAAAAGTCTCCTGCAATATATGTGGAATAGCTTTGAAATGAAAAGAAAGCTTGTATTGTCACTGGACAACGACAAGTCATGCTGTAGACACAAGTCGAATGGCAACGATGAAAAAGAAAAAACAAAACACAATATGAAATATGTCAAAGAAACACACACACATATATATATATATATGTTTTGTATTCTACCTCTGATATTTCCTCCCTTGTGTTTACCTTTCTCCGTGTCTTATTCTGTGTTTGTTTCTCCTCACTCTCCTTCAAAACCCAACCTCTAAGTGATAATGCGTACTTTTCGGACATTTTCGCTCCATTCCAGCCCTGTCACCCAGTAATCCCCTGAGCCACATCCACCGGCGCAGCCAGTGTGTGACAAGGCTGTGTGTGCTAGCCTGGTACAGCTCTTTCTCATGACTGAGAAATAATCCTTATTATAGCACTCCCTGAGCCTTGGTCACACACTCGCTCTCACACACACACACACACGCAATATGCTTTTGCACATAGGCATAACACACTCACGGTGCCGCACGCACTAACTTGTCACGCTAATCTACAACGCTTTGGTCTGAACTGAAAGTTCTTCTTCTTTCGACCTGGTTAGGGAAACATGTAAAAACAACTGAGGAGGACGCCTTTTTCTTCTTCTTCTTCTTCCTCTCATCTTCTGATCCCGGTGGTTTCATCACAAGGATTTCAACATGCTTTGGCTGCGTGCAGGTACCCTGACGTTCCATCTGCTCTGCTTTACTTTCTGTTGTGTTAGAAATCTGGCCTGCAGGGCCACAGCCCTGCTCGCCACTCTTCTACGAAGCTCATGAACTAATGGTGATGTAACATTAGCAGCATTAGCGTTGGTCGTTTATTCACTGCGAATTTGATTTGAAGGATTTGATACTGTTTTTGATCATGTTTGTGCCTTTGCAGTAAAGAAACACATGTCGATTGTTTAATTGCCAGACTACAGACCTAAACCCAAAGTTTCTCTGCTGGAAGTGTTGGGGGGAAAGAATATTCCATTTATGCCATTGTTGATGAATACATATGTCATTGATCCAGATCTTATTTGTTACTTTTATACTGATGTCAATTTTATAGATAAAATGTATTTGTATTTAAAATAACCAAATTACAGTAAGAGCCATTGAGGCATTGAGACACACACACACACACTTACAGCCATTCATACACACAAACAAGTACACACACTTACATGAGCAAGGATGGATGCCCTCAGACACACACACACACACACAGCCACTAATCTCTCAAAAGGCCAGTCTGTATCGAAGTTGGACTGACAATCATCTCACTGTTTCTTGTTGAACACAGCTGGACAGAGAGAACAGGGAAATGTACACATCCATTTGACAACAAGTGAAGCTTCACTGAGCCATGACTGGTTTTTTTTTTTAAATATATCTTTTTTATATTTACTATAATTTCCCATCCTGTTTATGTTGGACATGGCAGCTCAGACAGCGTCAAACGATTAAGACCCAACGAAATGATGGATTCCTGTGAAGAGTCAGATTTGTCCTCTCTGTATCGTACTGTCACCTAGATTTTTTTTGTGAAGTCAATTTATTGCGTCCTCCAGACCAGTCATGTCAGCTGTTTTGTTTTTAATCTCAGTTTCAGATTTTCTTTTTTCTCCTTGCCCTCCTTGGATTCCATCCTTGGACATCCAGCCTCCATTTTTCCCTGCACTCTTTTCAACCTCCATCTATCTATCCTCCCTTTTCATTCCGTGTGCCCTTCTTTTTTGTTATCAGACCTGCCAACTGAAATTTACTGCCTATTTGGGTGGGGTGCACATCTGGGTTTAATTTAGGGGGAACCGTGCGTTTTCCTTTTCCTTTCCTTACATTGGCACGTATAAAGAGACATTAACCATCTGCTCCTCAAGCAAAGACACCCTATCAGTGTAAACACGCCGCACTGGAAAAATAACAACAGGGTTATTATTTATTATTATTTAGCAGGTCGTAAAACGCTGAAATGTAGCGTGTCCTCGGGACGACCAGTTGTTCTGTGGGGACTGCTGTATAATTTGATCTGGGCTTTGGTGAAACAAAGCAAATTAGAGGAAAGTGGTTAGAGTGTATTAAATGATTGGTGATACGTGGCAGCAGGGATCGTGGCGATGGCACTGGAGATGAAGTGGAATTGGTTTCAGAAATGGAAGGAAGGAAGAGTAGCTTTTTAATTCGTGTTTGTTTTGTCTTTTTAAAGTCCAGTCGTGTGTGTGTGTGTGTATTTACTAAACAGAGAAAGGAGACAGACATGCAGCGAGTCTGGGGTATGTCTGCCCACAGACTGAATCCCCTCCACTTATCCATCACGCCGTCTGTCCTTGTAGCGCTCTTCTTTCTCACACTAAATCATCCCGCAGCAGTGGTAGTTTGATACTGTGACCTGTAGCACTTTCTTTAGTGTCACGTTTCAGACGAATGATACGTTTGTAGAAGAGAAAGAACGCAGAGCGACGGACCAACACTTTTTTTTTCTTCAATATATGCAGAAGAAAGGGCTCGTTCTACGTGTCGATGTCGTAAAGATTAGCTGAGGTCATGGGTTTTGGATTTGGGAGGCTTTGGTTTATCAAAGGGGCAAAGTGACCCTCGGGTCACACACATGCACCCTCTTTATGTATGTGTATATATATAAATATATACACATACATATGAATATATTCAATCACTAACGTTCATTTCTAAAAACAAAAAGCTTCAGGTTGCCTTTACTGCTTTATTGTATTTTTTCTAAAAACATGATGAGCTTAATTATACTGAAAGAATTTGTTTTCTAGCTGGAACAACTTAGATGTATCAGTCAGATGTTGGTAGGAGAGTGGCTAAATTTAATAGCAATAGTCGTTGGTGTTATATTTTTCTTTATGAAAAGCCAAAGTTATATATTTTTTATGCAAAATCTTTAAAATGTTCCTTATTCTAGCCATTTATCATTATTATTGTATATATATTTAGCTGGGGAATGTGTATATATATATATGTATATATATATGTATATATATATATAATATTATATTATTCTTATAATTATCATTATTCATCCAGTTCAATATTTAAATATATTTATATTCATTGTCCAATCAAATCTTTGGACATTTAAGTAGTTCACGAACACAGTTGTATCTTATTCAGTGGGTCGTAACAACACGTGTTTTGTGTTTTTGAGACAGTCTCCGTTTGTGTCAGTGAGTTGTGTCGATGAAAGATTCCCGATGCTAATTCCCAGATGCTCTCCGTCTCCCCCTGTTTGTTCCCATTCCTCCCTGCACTGCAGGTCATGATATTACCAGTTCTCTGGAGCCAGCCAACATCGACACCAGCATTCTGGAAGAGTACATCAGCAAGGAGGACGATAGCACCGACATGTCAGTGGGGACTCCACACTAACCCAGCAACGTCAAAACAACATGCAACAACTGAATCAGATCATGTCGTTACGGAGGAATTTGTTGTCTCTGATAAGACTAACCCTGGTTTTTTTTTCCCCCTCCTTTCTTCACCCTAGCTGTTTCTCTGAGGTCCACAGCACCCCAGGACCGAATTACTCATCTCCCCAGGCAGGAGCGTCCTCCTCTGGGGGGTTGGTGTGTGGTTTGAGCCCCCCTATTCCATTACGTCAAGGATCCCTCCCACCTGGAGCCCCCACCTGTCAGAACGCCTACCCCCCAGGTCCATCTGTGGGCCTTCGACACAACTACCCCTGCTTAGGACAGCAGCAGCAGCAGCAGCAGGCGTACATCAAGCCTGAGCACAGGGGCCACTACGCTCCGGGGTGAGACGTCGTCCACGGAGGCAGATGGATGGATGTTAGGGATGGAGGGAAAATACCATGAGCAGATATGTAGGAATTTACAAAGAAACGCAGGAGATACTTCTTAAATTGGTATTCAGCAGAAGCTGCGTCACGTGACACATTGTGTTCACACTCAGGGCCAAGTGAAACCAACGAAAACTCACACTTCCTTCTATTATGCAATCAATACCGGATTGGGCTTCATTTGTACAAATAAAGCATCGGCTGGTCGTGAGGAGGAGGGATGCTGATAAGCAGCAGATACAGAGAGTCGAATTACATGCAGCAGAAAAGGAATCCTGGCACACACTGTCTGGTACAAAACATGTCCAGATCGGCTGATACCAGAGTAGAATTTGTTCCAGTTTTTTTTTTTTCTTCAGTTTCCACTGAAAGTTATCAATTAATCCTTCGGTATCATATTAAGTAAACACGTTCTTTTTTAGTTTCCCAATTTTCCGAAACACCTCATTTCAGTCTGCTAACTCTTCTCCTTTCATTGTTCCACTTTTTTAGGACTCTGCCTGAGTCGCCCCCTGACTCCAGCTCTGAGCCATACTCTCCACAGCAAGTGAATGGTGAGTATCCGACACTTGTTCCTCCCCAAATGTAAACGTAAAACCAAGCGAGCAAGAGTCCAGTCAGCCCTGTGCCGAAGCCATAATCTGTTACTTCATTCAATGTAAACATTAAGATTAGAGCTTAGTCCTAATGTATATATTTTTTTAAATTCTTGAGATTGGCCTTTTTCAGAATTGAAATCAGAGAACACCATGTTTTACAGGCCTCGTGTTTCTCTTGCGTCTTTGTTATTCTTACATATCTGTAGTTGTGTGTTTTGGCACAGCTCCGGCTTGAAACAGTGGAATGTACATTTTCTGCATCGACTCCGAGTCAATACACGGGGTGAAATGTTAAACCGACACGTCGACCATGAGAGGAGGGATGTTTAATTATTGTCTTCACTTCAGTATCGCTCGCGTGTCTTTCAGATTCTCACATGATCAGGACTATGACACCAGAGAACATGTGTCACATGACCCCAACGCCCCCCCTCCACTACACCAGCATGCATCGGGACATGTACCTGAAGCCGGAGCCGATGACTTCGCAGTATGCTGTCGGTCCCACCTCCGGCGGAAGTGGCGACATGCAGCAGACGCAGATGCTGCATCAGCTGCTGCAGCATCCTCAGGGGCAAGAGTGAGTCGTGAGGGTATAAACAGCTGGGGTTGGGGGGTTGGGAGGGGCAGGCGGGCACCAATGAAGGGTGGTGATCTCCAGTGTAGGCTGACGGAAGGAATTGTGGGAGACGAAGTGTTTTTCAACCTTGGGGTCAAGACCCCACAAAGGGTCGCTTGGAATTCACATGGGGTCACCTGAAAGGTCTAGTAATTGATAAAAAAAAATACTGATAAAAATATTTATTTAATTATTGCTCTCACAAGTGACAGCTATTTGAGTTCCTTTGAGTATTTTGTGCACTAAACTCTCTGGGGTCACCAAAAATGTTTTTGATTTGGAAATGGGGTCACAGGTCAAAAAGGCCTCTGGTAACCAGTGGAGTAAAATGTGTTCATGTTTTCATTTCCTCGTACAGAGGCGTCCCTATTCATCAGACCAAGAAGAGGAAGCACTCGGACTCACCCAACAGCACCCTCAATGCACAAATCCTCACAGGTATCATCAAACAAGAACCAGGTAGGCAGGCATCTGTCTCCTCTTCTTCACCTGCTCCACATAACGCTCAGCTGCTCTTGCTGATCCTCGACTAACTCTCACGCAGATGCAGATCTTTTTTCCGAGCAGCTGTGCACATTGGTAATGTTCTTTTGCTGCGTTTAAAACTCCTTCTCTTTCCAACTGCTCACCACAGGTTTAATGCAGGATGGAGACAACGCCTACCTGGACCCCAACTATCAGTGCATTAAGTGGCAGCCTCACCAGCAGAACAAGTGGACGCCTCTGTACGATGTCAACTGCAAAGAGCTGTGGGTTGAATTTAAAATTGAGCATACCTGCTCTCCGAGCCAAACAAAAGTGAAGGTTTTTTTTTTTTTTTTTTTTTTAACTGGTGTGAAGGATAATTGTAGAGAGCGTGCGGTGAAGGAGTAGCAGGGTTACGGAGGTGGATGAATTCCTCAGAGGTGAGCTGTGTGGGGGAGTGAGCCAGCACAGGGTTTCGACTCAGAAAGACAACGTGAGGATGGGGTCAGGGGATGAATTAGTGCACATCTTCCCGTGCTTTTCAATGCCAAAAAAGAAAGAAGTAAACGGGGAGGAAGGTTAGCGTGAACTCCTTCAGATATTTTATCAAAGCCACCTGGTTGTCCGTATCAAACTGTGAGCGCTACGTTCTACCTGTGGAATGAAAAGGACTTTTTAGCTCTTCATAACTTAGATTAAAGGCTCACGGGAGTCCTGTGAACGATACCCGTGGTACCGTAGGCTACGTTATGGTTCAGTGATCAACACCGATGCGTTGTAGGACAATGGTTATATTTTTATTAGGGCTGTGAACTGATAGGAATATTTCATGGTGAGTAACCTCATGCAAATTGACCGTACATTGTTATCAGTTATTGTAGTAGTGACGTTTTTCCTGCTCTTCTAAACACGGGCGTTGACAAATATGTCTGCTCGATGCAAATGTATGTTTATTGTTCCTGCAGAAATTCAAACAAAGGACGAATAGAATCAGGACAAGACAGATATTACCGCAATATATATTTATTCATTAAATATATTTTAATGACTAAATACACAGTGCTGTGTACAGGCCCCATCACAGGATGTTGTTGATCACATGTTAGTTTAACTTTTTTGACTACATTCTGTGTACAGGCCCCATCACAGGATGTTATTGATCACATGGTACTCAAAACATCATTTTCACATCAGTGACTTTTTTCTCACCGTTCTCAGTCCAATGCCCACGTACCGTGTGGATGCAGACAAGGGCTTCAACTTCTCCTTGGCTGATGATGCCTTCGTGTGCCAGAAGAAGAACCATTTCCAGGTCACAGTTTACGTGGGCATGCTGGGCGACCCCAAGTACATCAAGACAAATGACGGGCTGCAGCCCATAGACTGTTTCTATCTGAAACTACATGGAGTGAAGGTGAGGTTCAAACAAATCAACCTGAGAGACGACAGTAAGAGCCGCTGTTTAATTATTACTGTCATTATTTCATTTGTCTCCTTATTGTCAGGTTGAGGCGATGAACCAGTCAATCAGCGTGGAGCAGTCGCAGTCTGACCGCAGCAAGAGACCCTTCAAACCGGTGCTGTGAGTGAAATAATCACCTGAGAACTGTTAGCAGTCGTTCCTCGCTGAGCTTGATACAAATAGCTGCAGAGAAGTGGTTTGTTTATGTCGTACGTCTGGGGTCTTTCACAGAGTCACCTTGCCCTCAGAGCAGGTCACAAAGGTCACGGTGGGCCGTCTTCACTTCAGTGAGACCACGGCAAACAACATGAGGAAGAAGGGCAAACCGAACCCTGACCAGAGGTGAGTCACATGTCATGATGAGTCGCATGTGTTTAGCCACAAAGCTAAATATTTTAGGCTGAAGAAAAAAGTTTAGGTTTTGAAAAGAAAAATAATTTTAAAAAATCATAAATCTAGCCAAATTATGACTAACATGTACGTGATGAATTAAGTTATCACACAGCTAAAATATAAATAAAAACTTCAAAGTTCAACGGACGAGGAAAAATAGCTAGTCCTAAACACTGAATCATAAATCAAAGTGGAATTTACGAGAATATTTCACACCAGCTCCAATGGAGTACTTCCTACTCTTTTCTGCCGTTGCAGGTATTTCATGCTGGTGGTGGCGCTGCAAGCTCAGTCCCACAGTCAGAGCTACACTGTGGCTGCTCATGTATCTGAGAGGATCATCGTCAGGGTAACGTCTGGCCATGTCTGTCTGCCTCCTACAACAATCACACTATTCACACCACGCTGTGCTTTACAATTCACACCGTTTTGTCTGTTTTGACTTCCTTCAGTCACCCTGTGGTTCATTTTGAAACTGTAGTTTGACCGACTGGATATTGACGGCCTTTAAAAAAATTATTTATTTATTACAGAATAATGAGAATGTATTTTCCTGTAAGTAGGTGGGATTTTAAAAGTGAATTAAATTGTTAAATGTCAATCCCTCTACCCTTAAGATTAATGATTAATGATGAACCTTAAGTCATTAAGTTAAAGGCAGCTACATTTCCAGACCTAGTTTGTAGTATATTAGAGCACTGTAGCTTTACATCCACTCATCCAGTTACATTAGATGCTGGAAAATGCATTCATTTTGCTCAGAATAACACTCACATCTTCTCCCTTTTACCGTTAAACTACACTCAGTGGACAACATTGTTGGACAATTCGCTGATAAAAGTTGATTTTTTTTTTTGTTCGTGTAAATTTCCAAACACGTTTAGAGCTTTAAAGTTTGATTCCGGCAACTTTTATATATTAATAAAACGGTGGAAATGTATGTTTTGGCTGTGGAGATCTGACGTTGATGTTGTAAATATTTATTAAAAGGCTGTGTAAAAATGTCTCAAACTAAACCTCTGAAGATGTCATTCAGAGACATGGTCCAACGTTTTGTCCAGAGAGTGTATTTTATTACATTATACAATTGTGTATTCTTATAAAACCGCTGCTGTTACTAGAAATACTGACGTGAGTTGAAAATGATTGGCGTAAACCACAGTTTCTTTGTGCACTCTTCTCTCTATCCGTTACAGGCGTCAAACCCCGGTCAGTTTGAAAGTGACAATGAGGTTCTGTGGCAGCGCGGTCAGCTACCAGACTCCATCTACCACCACGGCAGAGTCGGCATCAACACCGACCGTCCGGACGAGGCTCTCGTCATCAATGGCAACGTGAAGGTCATGGGCTCTCTGGTTCACCCATCGGACATCCGGGCCAAAGAAAATGTCCAGGAGGTCAGGATGACGCCCAGTGTGTTTGCTTAGACGTAGATGTGTGTTTATCGAACTGTCGGTGCCTCATGTTGAGCCTCATCGATCATGTCACTCAAATGCTCATTATCCAAAAGTGATTTCTTGAATGTTTCATTTTGAGCACTGTGTGTCCATACCATCTGCACGGATGTCACTGTCATTCTGCCTGTGTGTAGGTCGACACCACAGACAATTTGAAACGGATTTCTCAGATGAGACTGGTTCAGTACCAGTACAAGCCCGAGTTCGCTGCCACCGTGGGCATAGAGAACACCGCACAGACCGGTAACAACTTCATCAGTAACACGTGGAGAGAACATCTCAACATTTGTTCCTGCTCCTCCATTTTTTGTCATGCTTTTTGTCGTAATATTTGTCCTCGGCTCATTGTGCATTGCTCTGAAACCCGTTGTGTAGGTTTTCCATCGATTGTACTTCAGTGTGTCTTTGTTATGACCTACCGTAGGAGTCATTGCTCAGGAGGTGCAGCAGATCCTACCGGAGGCAGTGAAGGAGGGCGGTGATGTGGTCTGTGCCAACGGAGAAACTATTCCCAAACTGCTGGTTGTAAACAAGGTAAAAAAAAAAACACGCTTTATCACAGGTTCAAATTTGGTAAAAAAAAACAAACAACATCTCTCTTTAGATTTTGATTGGTGATCAGTTGGAGTTATTTTCAAACCAAATCTTTTGGCTAGTGTTTGGCTAACTTTTCTAAGGCTGGCTGCAGGCTAATTTGAATCGTAGGTCTATTTACTATTACGTTGCTAAGTTTTTGATAGTAATAGTTAAACAGATTTTGTTTCTTAGTTAACTTTTAATTATATCACACATTATTTTTGACATTATTTTTTAAGTTAACTCCAGGCGTCTTTGAACTAACCTTCCTTCTTAGTTAACTTTTAATTATATCACATATTATTTTTGACATTATTTTTTGTTTTTTTTATGCCTTAAGCTCATTTTAAATTCCTCTGAGTTCGCTCATTTTAAATAGTTTACTTTTGCTTTTGTTAGGTATTTTTTTTATGAACAGTCTTTTTTTTTAAGCTGACTGAAAATTTGCACTTTTCAAACCTTTAAAACACATGGGGAAAGACATGAGACAGAAACTGACAACAGTTTCCAAACACATTTTGTAAAGTTATATTTCTACAGTATCTGATCAGAGCTACTGATGCTATTTCATGGGCAAATTCAAATGTTTCTTACTGCTCTTCCGCCACTCGTACCTCCACAGGATCTCATCTTTATGGAGAACGTGGGTGCAGTGAAGGAGCTGTGCAAGCTGACTGACAACCTAGAGAACCGCATCGATGAACTGGAGCGCTGGAGTCGCAAACTGGCCAAGCTGCGACGTCTGGACAGCATGAAGAGCACCGTCAGTGGAGGCACTGTCAGGTACGGAGCAGCCAAAGAGGACGTGGCGGTAGAAGATGAGGTTGTAAAAGTAAAAAGGAAATAAAACGTTGTCGGTGTTGTTGACATTTTCTCCTGTCCTTGTAGCCAATCAGGGAGCTACTTTAGCAGGACAGGAAGTGGTCCACTCAGGAAGAAGACGGTCAAATCCGGGACCAAAGTCCGTAGTGATGCCTAATGTGTCATTATACATCCCTGTGTGCTGTGTGTGTGCATGGACGTCATGTATTTCTTCCATTGCAGAATTCACCTCCAGATCAGGGCTGCATCAGTCAGAGGTTCATGCAGGGAACCATCCTCGCCCTCGTCATTGTCATGGCCTTCAGGTACAACAACAAAAAAGTTGTCCAAAGTAGTGACACAGTACTTCAGCTGATCATTGTCTGTCTCCCTGCAGTGTGATATCCATGTCTGTTCTGTACGTGCTGACGCTTCACCACAGAGGAGAGGTCACTGACAGGTTTGTTTTCAGCTTTTTCTCTGTCAACCTTTTCTCCTTCTTCTCTGCAGCAGCTCTCAGAATAACAACTGTCCCCACTCTCTGTAGCTCTGTCCCGTCCTGTGTCCTCTACATCTCTTGGATGCCCGTCTTTACCGCCACTGTTACTTTCTGTCCATCTGTGTGCTCATGGTACGCCTCCACCATCTGCTCCTTGTTTCTGCCGTACTCTCTCTGTCTTATCTTTTGAGTGTGTATCTTGTTGTGTCCTTTTGTCCGCTCTGACGGCTAGTCCAGAGAACAGAACGTTATTTGATTTATGTGCATTAATATTCAAGCTAAACCCAACTGTATGTGACGCAGGTCCAGAGCTGCTCTGGGATCTGCACACAGGAGTCAGTTTATTCCACTGTCCACGGCTCCTGCACCTGGTGAGTGAAGGACACACATGTCAGTTCTTTGGGTCTGAGCCTAGATATGAGTATGAGTGTGAAGGTTTGCTTGTATTATTTGTGGCTCTGTGTTGTACTGGTCAACTGTCCAGTGACTGCTGGGATTGGCTGCAGCTTCCACCGCCTTCCTGTATAGAACTAAGCAGTAGAAAATGAACGACTGGGTAGAATATAATACATTAACATTCAATCACTGAAGGAAATGGAAAAGGACTACTATAGTACTGTATAGTTTTTAAACGCAATGCAAGTAATCCAAATAAGCACGTTTTTTTTTTACATCTGTGACCCACTCACAAATAGCCCAGCGGGCCACATTGGGCCACAGCCCCCGTTTTGAAGGTCAATTCAAATTCAACAGTCTCACTCATTTCTTCTGCAGCGTGCTGTTCGACTACACCCATGAACAACCAGTCTGCTACAACGTTGACACTGAACAGCAACCAGTCCACAACCGGTGAATAAACAAACACATAAAAACACATCTGTTGTTGACTTTCTTTATTGACGGTTCATATTTGACTTCTCTAGATTCAGAGAGCCTGGTCCCCACGCCTGCTGTCATCAATAAGAAGGCCAAGTCCAGACTGATGGACAAGGACGCCCACAGTAGAAACCGTCTAAGTCACACGTCAGCGCCTTTGTACTTTTCCAAGTCCAAAAAACCAGCGTCCGCTGACCAGGAGGGTGCGGGCGCTAACAACCGCCTGCCTGGGGGTCAGCCGTCGCCACGGAGACAACGCAGCCTACACGCCAAGGGTAAATGACTCCGACCCAGACGTCGACATGACACGTTTGTACATAGAGTACTGTATGTAAACACAGTTAGGCCAATTGTTGAACGACAGCAAACAAAGGCTGTCTACACACTGTATAAATGACAGCTCTGAGTGGCTCATCGTCAGCGTTCTCTCTCCTGCAGGAGGAATGTCCGCTCCCTCGCTGACGGGTCTACACATCGTGGAAACAAACCAAGCCATCGCCACACAGAATTGTGCAACACCTAAGAGCTGCAGGTAGATAAATATACAGTGATAATCCTCGGAATTCCCAAGGATTAATCTGTTGAGGTGACGCATGACAACTATGATCATCACAGTTAATGACTTCATGAATCCTGTTTTATTTTTTCAGGCCTGTTTGTATTAATGCTGTTTGTTTTGTTTTTTTCCTTTTAACAACTTAAGCTACACAATATCACTGCATGGAAACAGGAATTCTTCAGCGTCTGTATTAATGCTGTTTGTTTTGTTTTTTTCCTTTTAACAACTTAAGCTACACAATATCACTGCATGGAAACAGGAATTCTTCCGCGTCTCAGATCACCTTATACATGATGTGAGTATGTGTTGATATGGCTCAGGTGGATGAACAGCTGATATAGGATGTTATTTTGACAGGGAAATGTAATTTAGAGTAAGAAAATTTGACGTTTTGTTTAATGTGACTGAATGACATCCTGATCTGTACTTAGCGTTAGCTGTTCCGGCCCACAACAAACATGGCTGCCAGTGGGGACACAAAAAAGGGATGTTGAACAAAACAGTCTAAATGAAAACTGAACACTTTTAACTAATGTCAATGGAAAATAAATGTGTTATTTTTATGGCCGAATTCAATGGGAAATGAACACATTTAGTTCTGAGAATTCCTTCCTTTTACACAG